GCAGCCCAAACCTTTCAGCGGTTCATTGACACCGTCCTTCGAGGCTTGCCTTTCTGCTTCGCATACGTCGACGATCTACTAGTTTTCAGCCAGGATGAGACCCAACACGTCCAACACCTGCGGCAGCTGTTCCAGCGCCTCGCCGAATATGGAGTCAATATTAACCGAGGAAAATGCAAGCTGGCAGCAACAACACTCGAATTTCTGGGCCACGAAGTTAACCAACATGGCATACGACCTCTCACACAAAAGGTGGAAGCTATCAACAATTTCCCAATACCTAAAACCATTCGCCAACTCCGGGAATTCCTTGGGCTTGTCAACTTTTATAGAAGATTTGTTCCCCAGTGCGCCGCAGTCCTGTCACCGCTGACCACACTCCTAAAAGGGAGCAAGCCCCCGTCAACCCCCTTAGAATGGACTTCGACTGCAGAGCAGACTTTCAGGCGAATTAAGGGTGAACTGGCAAACGCTACACTTCTTTCACATCCTCAACACGACAGAAAAACGAACATTATGGTCGACGCCTCTGAAGTTGCAGTAGGTGCCGTTCTACAGCAGTTGATAGAGGGAATCTGGAAGCCTATTGCTTTCTTTTCGAGAACGCTCACATCAGCGGAACAACGCTACAGCACCTTCGGGCGCGAGCTGCTGGCGATCTACACTGCTATAAGGCATTTTCGAAATTTTCTACAAGGCACGCAGTTCTATGTACTTACGGACCACAAACCTCTCACATACGCCTTGCAAGGTGGCAGGGACACATATTCACCTCGCGAAACAAGGCACTTGGCTTACATCGCCGAGTTTACAACCAACATCCGTCACGTGAAAGGCGTCGATAATCCTGTAGCCGACGCGTTGTCCCGGTGTGCTTCGTTTTCTGGCGGACTGAGCTTTCCGCCCGCTGTCGATTTTGATGTCATTAGCTCAGCGCAACAACGGGACAAGGAGCTTCAACAGATGCGTCAATTCCCTGGTCGACTCATATTCGATGAGATTATCTTACCTACGTCTACCAAGAAAATAGTCTGCGACCTGTCAACAGGCACACCACGACCCTTCATACCCACCGACTTCCGCAGACAAGTCTTTGACTCCATGCACGGCCTTTCCCACCCTGGCATTCGGGCTACACAAAAAATTATAACTGAGCGATTTCTCTGGCCCGGAATCAACACAGACGTACGCGGCTGGACCAGAACCTGCATCGAATGCCAGAAGTCGAAGGTCCAGCGTCATACTTACGCGCCACTTCAGTCATTCCCAACTACCACAGAACGTTTCGACCACGTCCACATCCACATTGTGGGAACCCTCCCACCATGTGAGGGGTTCCGCTACCTCCTTACCTGCGTCGACAGGTTTACCCGTTGGCCGGAGGCACTTCCAATCCAAGACATCCGAGCGGACACCGTGGCTCGCACCTTCATCCAGGGCTGGATTTCCCGATTCGGCGTCCCATCCACTATCACAACCGACCGGGGACGTCAGTTTGAGTCTGCACTTTTCCACCAACTACTCTCACTTTTAGGAACAAGCCGCATTCGAACAACAGCTTACCACCCCATGGCAAACGGCCTCGTCGAACGCTTCCATCGTTCACTTAAAGCGGCCCTAATGGCGCAACCTGAACCAAACAGATGGCATACAAGCTTGCCCATCGTACTTCTCGGATTACGAGCAGCTTTAAAGAAGGACCTTGGCTACAGCCCAGCCGAGCTGGTATATGGTTCAACTCTTCGCCTACCAGGCGAATTTTTTGCATCCGCCTTACAAGAACCAGCTCCCGATCCCATGACATACACAAACCAGCTTCGAACGATAATGAAAAACCTCCGGCCCACGCTCCCACGCACACAAGATCGAACTGCAGTTTACGTCTCGAACGACCTCGACAACTGCAGTCACATATTTCTGCGAAGAGACGGAACCAAGAGGTCCCTGCAACCACCGTACTCTGGGCCTCACAAAGTACTTTCCAGGGCAGCTAAAACTTTTACCATCGACTACAATGGACGGCAAGAAACCGTTTCTGTTGACCGCCTGAAGCCAGCTCACCTAGAATTTCTTCCTAATGCAAACGACGCTGCCCATCCTCATATCCTCACCGCTTGCCCAACCACTGACCCCTGCTGCCTCCCTTCAAGTCAATTCCCCCGAAGTCATTCGATGCGAACTAATATACTGCCCCACAACTTCAACCGTCACGAGCCCTGCGCGCCATTTCAAGTCAACCGATATGGCTCCAGACACTTAGGAGCCAAAACGTCTGCGCCTGCCCTCGCTCGCGCCACGAGCGTGATACAGCGCAAACGAAAAGGACCTCGACAAGTTTCGTGGTGTTTAGCACCTACTCACATATGGGACTAGCACAAATAAATGTCTATCTTCTTCTGTTGCGGCGCAGCGAAGGGAGGGGAAGGTGAGTATTTGTGGGCATTGGCATACATTGACCGCCCACAGATGAAAAAGAAGAAAGGGAGAAGGAAGGAGCTCGGGACACGAGAGATCAACGGGCTCTCAAGCCGCGCGCTCGACCGTTCCGGCAAGCAGTGAACATCACCGACCCGTTTATCCTTGTAAATAATGTACATAAATATGTAGTGCCAAGACTTTGGTTCCTACACCTGTTACTACAATGATTAGTGCTGGCTAGTCCCAGGCGCCTGACTTCGACACCCTACCATCAAACTTTGCAGCGGTCCAGAATTTTTTCGGATGCTACCATTTTGGCCCAAAATACCCAACCGTAAGGCAAATCCATTTTGAGGCCCAGATCCGTCTTGAACACATCACAAATCAGAAGACTCAATATCTATAAGCCCTCCTCATTGCGACACAACATTACCGAAGAGCTAGCCTACGTACTTGACACACTAGTTCCGGTCAAACCCTTCGACCAACTGAGGACCGCAATCCTAGACATCAAGATTGAATGGAAAGCAGCAGGCTCCAGTAGCTCCTTCACATAGAGGAGCCCGGTCACAGCATCTCCCAGCTTCTCCGCTTAATTCGTCAGCTTCTAGAAGCCCAGAACCACGACACGAAGAACTACCTTCTACACAAGTTGCTTTTGCAACGCCTTTCACAACCCATGATATTGTTTCCAGCAGCGGCCGAAGACTTATCGCTCGACAAGTTCTCCGAGCTTGCCGACATTGTCGCAGCGTGCTCACGGGTGCGATCGTTGACGCACCTGCCAGTCTGGCCCACGTATGTCATACCACACGTCATGGGGATTTCGTACGCGAAACCAGTGGCGCAATCTACGTACCTATTGCTGTGTTTAGTAGTGCACTGATTTGAAGACGGCTGTGTGAATTTTTGTCTGGCGACAGAGTCCCGCCATCTTATTGGGCGCTGAAAAAAAATGAAAGCCGTTTACAACTCCCGGTAACACCGAATTAGAGCGCAGCTCTTGAGGAGGTGGAGGAGGGGAGGGTACTGAGGGTCACCTGCTCTCGGGGCGGGGGGTGTCACGTGACCCCCGAAAAATTTTTCCGCTAGATTCAGCGGGGACTTTTTCCGCTAGATTTAGCAAGGAATTTTTTCCGCTAGATTTAGCGGGGAATTTTTCAGTTCGATTTAGTGCGAAATTTTTTCCGCTAGACTTAGCGGGGAATTTTTCCCGCTAGATTTAGCGGGGAAATTTTTCCGCTAGGTTTAGTGGGGAATTTTTTCCGCTAGATTTAGCGGGAAAATTTTCCGCTAGATTTAGCGGGGAATTTTTTCCGCTAGATTTAGCAGGGAAATTTTTCAGCTAGATTTAGCGGGGAAATTTTTCGCTAGATTTAGTGGGGAAGTTTTTCCGCTAGACTTAGCGGGGAATTTTTTCCGCTAGACTTAGCGGGGAATTATTTCCGCTAAATTTAGCGGGGAAATTTTTCCCGCTAGATTTAGCGGGGAAATGTTTCCGCTAGATTTAGCGGGGAAATTTTTTCTGCTATATTTAGCGGGAAAATTTTGCCGCTAGATTTAGCGGGGAATTTTTTCCGCTAGATTTAGCAGATAATTTTTTCCGCTAGATTTAGCGGGGAAAATTTTCCTCTAGATTTAACGGGGAAATTTACCCATAATCCACCGCGCGGTTACGCCGACGGCGACGCCGACGCCGCTCAAGCCGGAAACGGGCGCCTAAGAGCTGCGCTCTAAAAACTACCGGAACATTGTAGCACTGGGCTATCTTTTTTAGATTGTGCGTGATATTGTGCGTATACAATGACAACAGGCCCCACAGCCGTCTTCAGATCCGTGCACTACTAAATCGTCTGCGAAATCCCCATGACGTGTGGAATGACATACGTGGGCCAGACGGGCATGTGCGTCAATGATCGCACCCGCGTGCACGCTGCCTCTACAAGAACGACGCCTTCGGGGCATCTCGCAATTCACTGTAACACATGCTCGCGCATCCCGGCCTTCAATCACACAGAGGTTTTAGCTAGATACAAAGATAAAGTGTCGCGAGAATTACATGAGGCATTTGAAATTAGAACCAGGGAGAAGAAATGCATAAGTCACACGTCCCTATCTTTATCTACAAATGAGTTTGACTTATTGAAACGCGGGCTGAGCGGATGAGGAGAGGGTTTTTGTGGCTATATAACGTGTGAATTTTCAATAAACTTCAGTTGAGAGTGCGCCTTGTCTTGTTTCCCTTCGTCTTTGTCCCTGTATCTTTCTGGGCGCTTTTTGCTTGCAAAGAACCAACTGGCCCAAATCTCCACTTTATTGCGGTTATGGTGTAACGTGACCATATGAAGTCCTATGACGTCAAATCGGTGGACATCAAAATTCTCTCTGATTTGGCGCAAAAATCAATAAAGTGTAAGTTGTTCAATCCTTAAAGCAAGAGTTCAGTGTCGACTAGTCGTGTTTGAGCTATCGGAGCTTAAATACCGCAATTAATGCATTATAGAAGTATGACTATAAAGGCTAATGATTATTTTATTTTCAGGGTTCTGCTGTTGGATCTTGGTTTTCAACAAAATAAAAACATGTTACTCATAATTTTCGCCGCGGTGTATTTTTCCTCGGCCGTTCAAAACGGTAAGAAGAGTGAGACTAAAACAGCAATGTTTCTGCTTTTAACAATCAAGAATAAAGATGCCGGGTATATTTCTAATTTCAAAACAAAAATTAAGGATCCGTTTGGCAATGGCAGTTTTCTTTATATTTAGTAATTAAGTGATAGTGTTTTTTTATCTCTTAATAACCTTCTTTTCCGAAGGGTCAATGTTTCGACTGGATTGGGAAGAAGCAAGCGATAAGATTAACTGAACATAAGCTCACTGTTACGCACGTGCAGACTGGTTATTCATGTTACGCGCCACCGAAGTACGGAATATGAAATTATGTCTTGTAATGCAATCCCAGCCTACAAGATTCTGATATTGAAGATACGTATGATAATCAGATCAAGTGAATTCATCCGCTTTTTAAAGCTTCTTGAGTTTTCATATTTTAAATAACGTCGTAATGCGTTTGAGGCCTCATATTCTACAGGGGATGATGGGGTTGTTCACAGTGACACAGTTCGTTTCAAAAGCACTTTAAGCTGATTTCAGATAAGATCAACCAAAGAGTGGCTGGTCGTCATTTTTAAATCAACTGATATTTTTTTTATATGCTATTGTCTAGTGTCTGGTATAAACGAATTCACACTTAGTTTTGACCAGAAAAAATATTTGGGGACAGGAAAAAAAAAACGCATGAAGAGGTGGACAGTTCCATTAACGCGCACTGATGGAGGGGGCACGTTTAAGAGTGAATAACTACAACGATAACAGTAGAAAAATGTTAATACTTTTTTAAACGCTAACTACGGGTGCAACTTGCTTGTGATGTAAAGTTATATTATTTATTTAAGTTTTTCTTTATTTTCCTAACAATTGCCACACATGCCTGCTCGAACGACAAATGGCAAAAGTTGGAGGTCTGTATCTCATGAAATAATTTGATCATTATTATATACGTTGTACACAGTATTCTACTTATATATGGCTATTATGAAAAAAACAACTACTAATAAGGTATCTGAGTGATACGGTATTCTGGATATACTGAGGCAAACATGGAGAAAAAAATCAAACAACAAAAACTTTCGATGCAAATAAAAAAAAAAACACCACCTTCGATCTTTTTTTTTAATTTGGGTACCCTTTCATACTTTTTTCGGCATTCATTTCCATTAAAAACATGGTGCATTATTTTATTGAGAAGAAAGAAACAACTCCCCAAAATAGGGTCCTTTTTCAAGGCCTACACTAGCAGTGCCCTATACAAGAAGTGAATCTGAGTTCCAGTTTCATAAAACTAACTCACATTTTTTATATATTTTTATTCAGATGGGGCTATTGATAACTATAGCAATCGTTCACACAGTAAAAGAGGAGAAACTACTGTGTACAAAGAGCTATCATATTACGAACTAGTGATCCGAGAAACGATCCTGCAGGCATCGGCCGCTGGGAACATTGTTTATTTTACTACGGCATTATATGCTCCTCTCTCCTACCCTGTATATACACCTCTCTCTCTTATATATATCCCTGACTTATATCTAAAACAAAAACATAATCAACCATTCCCTTTCTGCGTGATTAGTGTTCTGTGTCTAGCAACAATCTTTTCCTCGCTAAACTCCCGATTATGGCGGAATAGTTGACGGAAGTAGCAGGCGACACTCGTCGCTAGTTGGGGCAAAACGGCCGATACAATCTTTATTTCGCATTTCCCCGCTCGCTGTCAAGGATGAGGGGGTTCGCTTCAACCAGCAAAATATGGCCGCGGATGCCTCTTTACTGAGCAGTAGCTCCTGTCGCCATCCCACTCGCTGCCTTCGCGGGCGATAATATCAGGCGCAAAGAGGCACACCGACAGAAAGCAGAACTCGCAAATACTCGAGCTGCTCCTAAATACAATAGAGCGTAAACACTGTCGCCATGTTTACCTAGGAAAGGTTAACATGGTGACAGTATTTATGTTTTAGGTAAGGAAAAGCATTGCGTGTGGTATGAGTCGGATCCTTACACGAGTTGCAGGGTGAGACCTGAGAACCTGTCCGCTGCCCTCGTGTACTTCACGAAAGACGAGCTACAATGTTCGCGCCAAGGTCCCAAACAGAAGGACGTGATTTCTGTCATGCTCGACGGGTAGAAAAACGTTCGTGCCAAAGCGCTTCTTGACATGCTCAATCCAAGAGGCCTTTCGTGTATACAAAGACAAGCATCCCGATCCGGGCGTTGTGCTAACGAAATTTTATTCCTTGTGCCCTAAATAGGTCAAATATATAGCACACCAGGAAGTGTGCTTTTGTGTGCGCTGCGCAAATTATTACCTTTCTATGGCCGCTCTAGAGAACGTTATAGGCTCAACATTCACCACTGGTGAAACGAGCTCACCATTTCTGTGCGACCCACTATCAAGTCTGTGTCTCTAAGGAGACTGAGATCACTGCCCAAAAGGCCAGTCTCTTACACTCGAGGAACTTCATATCCTAGAGGATGAAGAGATTGTGCTTACAACATGGAAGGGCGGCGACCTTGTGGGAAAAAAATGAGATCCTGAGACTTTACTAAAAGTCGTTCAAGTAAAGATTGAAAGTTGGATATTTCACAACCCTATCCGACAAAAGCAAGATGAAGATATCTATAATGAAAAGCAGCTGCATGCAACGCGGGAGCTTTGCCTTTCATTTTGGTTTTGCTGAAAACTGGACCATTGTGCTTCCTGACAAAGAAAAACTGCCTAAAAACTGATGAAAAAGGTTACAATATTTACATGTGCAGTGACGACAAGAAAATGTACAAACAGCGGTGCTATCATTAGTGAGGGCCTGGGTGACGACGTCGCTCTCACGTGCTTGGCTCTAGAAAAAGTGAGAGTAGATTGAAGACAACGTTGCGGTATACTCGCACGTGACGTACGTAAGTGACTAAACCGCCAGTCATTATAAGAATCGCTTTCAACTTCTCCAGTTTGCACAGAACGATTGCCCAGAAGCCCAGTGGTTATTTTCTGCATCTGGACATGGGACAATGCATTCGGCAGAGTTGGCGTTCTCGTGAAGCGCCAGGCCACGCTGAACAACCTGAGAGGACGATCAATAAACCCAATTCAGAGGGCCAGGACAATGGTGATCGTTCCATTTGAGAAACTAGGTGCATCTTGCGTATCTGGACGAAAATGACCTTGTTCGGTATCGTCAAAAAAAAAAAGAGTGGCTGACGGTGCTCGTTTTTCCTAGCATTCAGTCTTGGCACGCGTGGCGGCTGGGCAAGTCATCAACAAAAGGAATCTGTTACATATATGTAACATGGACAGTCGGATCTGGTTTGAAGAAACTTTATTAAATGGGTAAACCGAGGAAAGCCTTAGTGTAAAGTTCCTAATTTGGTGCCCCGAAAACTGCTCATTTTGAATGCAGGGACATCGTATTTATCACAGTTTTCTTCGCGGGGTATTTAACCTACTATTTTACTTGGTGATAGTTTATAATCTTTATTTGATTACCATATGAGAATCGCGAAACGTTATATTCACGCAGGATAAAATAGCTCGGCTTGCCACGATCCATTCGTTCTCCGACAGTATCGAAGCTCTCATAGTCCGGCGCTGTGGCACCGCTCGCCTGCAATGGTTTTTCGCCGGAAATACATAACTAACCTAAACAATTTTGTATTCTATCTTTATTTTTCTGCGTGGCAGTAAATTTGTTTCTTTTATATTAAATGTAAATTCTACTGGAAAGTAAAACTTCACAGTGCATCATCTTTTCTCGAATCACTACTCTCTAATATGATACCTCTTCGTACGCTGTATGTAAAATGCTGTATATATTTTCTCCTCACGTTTAGTGTGTGACCGATATCTCTAGTCGTCAGTGACCTCATCTAAATAAGAATATAGGAAAACTGTGTGTTAGTTTCCTGAAACTGGAACTCAGAGTCACTTTTCGTATTGGGCACTGCTAAGTGTAGGCATTGTAAAAGGGCCCGATTTTGGGGAGTTTTGTCTTCTTTGTCGATTAAATAATCCAACATGTTTTAATAAAAATGAATGCTGAAATACAGTACGACAGGGTACCCAAATTTTAAAACAAATCAAAGGTAGTGTTTTTTTTTTTAATTTGCATCCGTATTTCTCGTTGTTTGATTTTTTTTCCTGTATTCCTAAATATATCCCGACTATCATATCACTCAGATACCTTCTTTATTTTTTTAAATAAATGACATATATAAGTAGAATACTACCGGCAAATTATATGATAATAATTAATTTTATGAGATACGGGCCTCCAAATTTTGCCATTTGTCGTTCGAGCAGGCATGCTTGGCAAATGTTAGCAAAATAAATTAAACTTAAATAAATATTACCACTTTATATTACAAGGATGCTGTACCCATCGTTTGTTTTTAAAAAGCATTAAAATTCTTCTAACTTTATCCTTTTAGTTATTCACTTTCAAAGGTGCCCCCTCCATCAGCGCGCGTTAATGCAACTATCCACCTCTTCATGCCTTACGATTTTTCCTTTCCCCAAATTTTTTCTCTGGTCAAAACTAAGTGTGGATTCATTTTTACCAGACAGTAGAAATGTTATATAAAACTTTAGTTGATTGAAAAATGCTGACCACCCACCTTTGGTCAATGTTATCTAAAATCACCCATTAAAACTTTCTAACAACCCTGTTATTTTTTTGCAGCGCTTATTTCTAAAGTTTCTTACGAACATCTGACCTGTCTGAACCTTATAAGCAAAATAGGCGAAATTGCCTGTCGTCTCGTTGGGGAGCAGGTGAGTTTAATAAAAAGAAGAATATTAAGATTTGAATAGAGTGATATGTTCACTGGAGCACTGCTATGACCTTTGTTAATAAGAAAACATGGCCAAAATGTTTTCCACCTGTGGCGTTTGTAGTGTATAAGAAAATCAAACCTGCTCAACTTTCGTGGCAGCCATTGCTATGATTCACCTGTTTTGTATATTTGGCAGCGTATGAACCCGGTCTATCTCGAATGACCAGTAATGACTAGAAGCCACTTTTTTATTATTAGTTACTTTTCTGTTTCTGGACAGAGCACGTTCGGACGGCTGCTAATGGCTGTTTGTCGGTATTATCAGTAAATTGTCTCTTTATGTAAAAGGTCAACCTTCAATGGCTATTATTTACTTTATGTTTTCACATTTCTTTATAAAGCAGATATTAATTGGCCACACATGCCCATTTGTCACTCATCTGACTTATCTATTTGCTCACGATATTGATCGGCTTCCAATATATAATATCGAAAAAGAGTCACAATTTTGATGTTTTGGTTGATTATTGACCATGTTGACTTTCTAATGTCATTAAAGGCAATTACACCCATTTTTTGAGTTCCTCGGCTTTCATAAACGAGGTTTGCTTCCGATGGCTCATGATGGCTGTTTCGTTTTATTTGGCGATCCATAGCCTGTTTAGATTCCATTTGCTATTTTTGGCTGATTGTTTACTCATTTTTGTTGTTACTATGATTGACTCTAATTTGTTTCTAATGGCTACTCACTGTTTATTATGAACTATTTTTATTATAATTGGTTATTAACGGTTACTACCCAGGTAGCACCGAGTTTTGGGCCAAAACTTGGCTTTTGTCTGGGAGTTTAGGGCATTGAAAAGCCCGGAGAAGCCAAAGTAGAGCCAAACCTCACCTCCCTTGGCAACAGTTTGGGTATTTTGGCCCTAATTCGCCAAAAAAATGCCAAACTTAGGCTTCACTGCCTGGTAGTTCGGCTGTCATCTGGCATCTTTGGGCCGAAATGGCCTAACAAATGCCAGACTTAGGCTTACTGCCCGGTAGTTCGGTAGATATTTGACATTTTTGGGCCAAAATCGCCAAACTAATGCCAAAGTTAGGCTTCACTTTTTGATAGTTCGGCTGTCATCTGGCACCTTCGGGCCAAAATTGCCACAGATGTGCCAGAGTTAGGCTTACTACCTTGTAGTTCGGTTGACATCTGGCATCTTTGGGCCCAAGTCGACAAACAAGTGCCAAAGTTAGGATTCGCTTCCCGATAGTTCGGCTGTCATCTGGCAGCTATGGGCCAAAGTTGCCAAACAAGTGCCAAAGTTAGGCTTCGCTTCCCGATAGTTCGGCTGTCATCTAGCAGCTATGGGCCAAAGTTGCCAAACAAGTGCCAAAGTTAGGCTTCGCTTCCCGATAGTTCGGCTGTCATCTAGCAGCTACGGGCCAAAGTTGCCAAACAAGTGCCAAAGTTAGGCTTCGCTTCCCGATAGTTCGGCTGTCATCTAGCAGCTATGGGCCAAAGTTGCCAAACAAGTGCCAAAGTTAGGCGTCGCTTCCCGATAGTTCGGCTGTCATCTAGCAGCTACGGGCCAAAGTTGCCAAACAAGTGCCAAAGTTAGGCTTCGCTTCCCGATAGTTCGGCTGTCATCTAGCAGCCATGGGCCAAAGTTGCCAAACAAGTGCCAAAGTTAGGCTTCGCTTCCCGATACTTCGGCTGTCATCTAGCAGCTATGGGCCAAAGTTGCCAAACAAGTGCCAAAGTTAGGCTTCGCTTCCCGATAGTTCGGCTGTCATCTAGCAGCTATGGGCCAAAGTTGCCAAACAAGTGCCAAAGTTAGGCTTCGCTTCCCGAGAGTTCGGCTGTCATCTGGCAGCTGTGGGCCAAAGTTGCCAAACAAGTGCCAAAGTTAGGCTTCGCTTCCCGATAGTTCGGCTGTCATCTAGCAGCTACGGGCCAAAGTTGCCAAACAAGTGCCAAAGTTAGGCTTCGCTTCCCGATAGTTCGGCTGTCATCTAGCAGCTATGGGCCAAAGTTGCCAAACAAGTGCCAAAGTTAGGCTTTGCTTCCCGATAGTTCGGCTGTCATCTGGCAGCTATGGGCCAAAGTTGCCAAAGAAGTGCCAAAGTTAGGCTTCGCTTCCCGATAGTTCGGCTGTCATCTAGCAGCTACGGGCCAAAGTTGCCAAACAAGTGCCAAAGTTAGGCCTCTCTTCCCGATAGTTCGGCTGTCATCTGGCAGCTACGGGCCAAAGTTGCCAAACAAATGCCAAAATTAGGCTTCGCTTCCCAATAGTTCGGCTGCCATGTGGCAGCTACGGGCCAAAGTTGCCAAACAAGTGCCTAAGTTAGGCCTCTCTTCCGATAGTTCGACTGTCATCTGGCAGCTACGGTCCAAAGTCGCAAAACAAGTGCCAAAGTTAGGCTTCGCTTCCCGATAGTTCGGTTGTCATCTGGCAGCTATGGGCCAAAGTTGCCAAACAAGTGCCAAAGTTAGGCTTCGTTTCCCGATAGTTTGGCTGTCATCTGGCAGCTCAAGCCAAAGTTTCCAAACAAGTGCCAAAGTTAGCCCTCTCTTCCCGATAGTTCGGCTGTCATCTGGCAGCTACGAGCCAAATTCGCAAAACAAGTGCCAAAGTTAGGCTTCGCTTCCCGATAGTTCGGCTGTCATCTGGCAGCTACGGGTCAAAGTTGCCAAACAAGTGCCAGAACTAGGCATACTGCCTTGGAGTTGGTCTGATGAGGTATTTGATGTACGCGGGTGGTCTTCATCTTAATTAAATTGAAATCAAGTTTTATTTGGCTGGCCACTTTATCTTATTTTATTGACCCGACTTTTTGCGATGCGATCTAGTCGCGGAGAGGCTGAGCCAATCAACGGTGTTCGGAGCGAGAGTTTTTGAGAAGCGACTTGCCAACGAAGACGTTGGACTGGCTCATCGCGCACGCCAGAGTGACCATCTAATTATTATTTTTTTTGGGGATGCGATTTAGTCGCACCGCGCGACTGCTTACATCCCCGGTGTGAATGCGCCTTTCCAGAAAGTGCTGCCATCGAACTAGCGCTGCGCGAGACTGATGTGCGCACGTCTCCTCAACAGATATCATTATTAGGCGGCACATTGCAAAAGCGAGCGTGGCCCTGTGCGTGTCTTGTATTGCGATTGAGCACTGTCAAATCCTAGCGATAACAAAAAACGGAAACGACCGGGGCTCCGTGGTGCCGCTCCCGCATCACACTTGGGGAATTAAAATGAAATCTCGGAACTTGTACTATTTTAGCCTGTTGGTACTTTTTAAACATTTGGAAAGTGGAGACATATAAGGGACGATACAGACGGGACAATCTTTCAACTTCAACAACATTTATTTTCGGCTTCAAGCTCAAAGCCCGCCCGCTCCGTGGGAGTACCGGAAAGTGAATTCTCGGGGGAAGGAGAGGAGGCGGAGGAAGTGTACGCGATCCCCCTGTCCTGCGGGGCCAGGTACATCGGGCAAACGGGGCGATGCCTCGACGGCCGACTCCGAGAACATCAAATGGACGCCGAAAGAGCTGCTTCTCAGCACCCGATCGTCATTCACTGGAGAAAATGTCCCGGCTGCGCTCCTAATTCACCGGCACAAAAGCCATGGGAAGCCACTGCGAGCGAGTCGGGAGAAAAATTATTGAGGCCTATCGGATGGCGACAAGCCCGCGCCCCTTCCATTTCGCTCTCAAGAAAGGAGATTATCGTTTTGAGGCCCACAATGGAAGCCGAACGTTGACAGACTAGGCAAAGAGACAAGGTCACCGGCAGAAGCGGCCTTTCCTTGCATTCCGTTCCATTTCATTCCAGAGAGGGGGGGATACACTATCTCCCTTGTAGCTTTGGCTGTACAGCAGAGTTTGTTATTTTGTTTTTTATAAGTTGTTTTCGTTTTTGTTTTTACTCTAAAGCGTCGAAAATGCAGAGGGAGCTTAGCTGCGTTGTTGATGCCCCTTCGACCTCGCCTTTTGCAAATCCTTCCCACCTGCTTTTTTGTGACCCGCTTGAAGCAAATCAAAACGGTGGAGTGAAACGCGTGACCTCTCTATGTAGGACGCGTAGGACAAAAACGTTTGGAAGAAAATATGTCACGTGACTCTCTCTGTCACGCTGATGGGATCTCTGGGGCTGCTTAGAGTGCCTTCATGTTCGCTTTGAGGGACATGAAGGCACCCTAGGGCTGCTGTTTTTGCCGTTCGCCTTGTTATGGAAATAGGCGGGTCACGTAGGTCCGGTTTTCGAACTGCGCTCTTCAGTGTTCTGTTGCTTTCGTGCGTTGCAGACGCGGCCGTGTTTTTTCGACGTAAACGGCCGGAATACGTCCATGCCAATTTTTTGGTAACAGGCTTTTTTTTTCACCGGAGATCGTGGAATTTTTGTGATGTGTTTTTTGGACACGCTTCGACAAAAACTGCTCTTCGCCGACGACGAGATGTCAGTTGAATGTGCGCAACCTTCTTTCTCAAGTGTGTTTGTGGGGTGCCTGAGTTGGATTATGCATCTATCAAGGACTACATGATATCGCTCTTTTATTAGTAAGTACGCTGCAAGCATGCTTCTGATAGTAGTCCTGCTTTCCTCTCAATCTCCGCGGTGTTTTTTGTGTGATTAGTTTTGCTTGGCATGAGGACAGTGTTAATTCTGTTTTATAATTTGCTTTTCGTTTTACAGAGAAGTGTGACTTTTGTAAATATGTCTAGAATACACTGTGTGTAATGATAGTGGTTTAATAAACTTCTGGGAGCGATCGAAAAAATTTTGTTTGTCCGTATATGTGATTGGATGTGCAACAAATGATATGGAACGTACACATACTTGCACGACGTTCGGCCAATACGAAGCAGACGCATCGTAGAGTATTCGGACAATATTGCGCGAACGCTAGGCCGGGGCAAAACGGCTATACGGCAATGCTTGCCGGATATCAAACCGTGGTGGAAAACTGATCGTTTGAGTGATATTGGAACCGAGTTTTGGCCGGTAC